GGTTTCTGGAAAACCCTACAGTGACCTACTCCATTGCACTCAATCGGGCCAGGGGTTGAAGTTGAAGTGTCTTGCTTGTACCACTAATCTGCTTTGCGAACGAGTTGAATCCAAATTGAACGGGTTCTGGGTCCATAGCGATCCCAGTGTCTAGGTTCACTCAATCTTCACGCGGACCGGTGTATGAGTAGGGCAACTTTGGGTCTAACCCCCAACTCAGGGTACATTTTCACCTACTGACAATCGCCCGTGAACCATCAGAACCCCATTAAACCTTACTTCCAGCTAGCCATGAACCACTCAGTCCTACAACCCTAACCTGGCTTCCTCTCAAAGCCACCAGTTCAACTTCAATCCCCCAACCCTCTATGCCCTAAACCAGAGACCGCACGGAAACTAAAGCCCTATCCACTGAACCCTAGGCCATGGACCGCACTTATCACCAGCCATGAACCTTGAAACAAGCTGTGAAACCAAGTGCGTTGAGTCCTCGGACTAAAGTCTTTCAGGACTGGGCTTAGGGTTTAGGGTTTAGGGTGTAGGTTTAGGGTTGAGGGATGGGGGTTTAGGGTTTAGGGGAGGGTTAGGGTTCTAAGGCAATGACGCAGGAGTGCCGAGTAAGATGAGTGAAGTGACCATCTCCTAACCTTCACTAAACATAAGAGCAACCTAGGAATAGAAAGGGTGCCCTTGTTGGAATACGGGCCTACTCTGGGCCCTAGAAGAAGCGAGGCGCGATACCTGAGGCATGCACGCATTGCGATCGCGCCGCCGGCCCTCATACGCGGCCACCGGCGCACAGGGATCGCGCAGTCGGTGTTGCATGTCCCTGCGAATAGGGTCTGGGACGTACTGCATGCACAGGAGGTCAAGTCCGAGTTTTGCCTTCCAGCCGGTGCTGCTTGAATTTAAGTAAAAGGTGGGGATTGAAGCTTCAGGGTTTCGAGTTTGGCTTCACCAAAGTGTTGCCCCTGAACCCTGAACCCTAAACCCCAAACCCTAAACCCTAAACCCAGTCCATTGGTTGATGCGACCATGTTTGTGCTTTTGTTTCACAATGTGGGACTTTCTTCACATCAGAACTTCACAGTGAGTGTTCACAAGCTCTCTCACCACTTGCATTGTTGATTAAGACGAATTGACTGGCTGGTTCTCAGAAGGGAATGAGGGAATGAGGGCTCATTCCCTCATTCCCTTCTAAGAACCAGGGGGTTGAGAATGACTGGGCAGGGCCACCTCTCTCTAGGATTTGCGATGGGTGTGTTTATAAGGTTTAGACGGTTTAGGGCTCTTAGGGCGTGAGGTGCTACAGGGTCACGCAAGAACCGCCGGGCTCCGGGAATGAAGGGTTGAGAGTGTAGATGTCTTTTGCGCTTTCATTTTTCCACGCGACTCTGGACCCTGAACCCTAGACCCCAAACCAAGCCCCAAAGCCCACCGAGCCCCAAAAACCCAAACCCCCAACTCTGAACCTCAAGGCTAAGTCCCCACACCCACAATCCCTCAGCCCCCAACCCCGAATCCTCAAGCCCTGCCACTGCCACGTGAAATGGACTTGGTCAGCTGCAAACAAGGACTTTCCCTAAACCCTGAACCATTCTGAACGTAGCTTCCAGCTGAGGCCAATAACCCCGCCCACCACATCCATGAGTCCATGTGAACAGCCCATGCCGCCCTTTAAATCCTAAACCCTCGACCCTTCCCTAAACCCTAAACCCTAGACCCTAAACCCTGAATCCCAAATCCCTTCAACCCTTCAATTCAAGTGCCTGCACGTTGGCCCATTGGGTGAGTTGGCGTCGGACTGGCCGACGAAACGACCTGGGGATTGAGAGACAGGACTTGCCTAGACTCTTGGTAGGATCCACAATCTCAAAAAGTAGAACCCCAAATGCTACTATTGGGTTCTTCTTAGGAACCCGATAGATCCTCCCAGGGTTCAGGGTAGGGCTTGCTTTGGGGCTTAGGGTTTAGGGTTCCCTAAACCCTAAACCCTAAACCCTAAACCCTAGACCCTAGACCCTAGACCCTAGACCCTAAGCCCTAAGCCCTAAGCCCTAAGCCCTAAGCCCTAAGCCCTAAGCCCTAAGCCCTAAGCCCTAAGCCCTAAGCCCTAAGCCCTAAGCCCTAAGCCCTAACCCTAAACCCTCAACCCTCAACCCTCAACCCTCAACCCTAAACCCTAAACCCTCAACCCTCAACCCTAAACCCTAAACCCTAAACCCTACCACTGGATTTCGCGCTACAACCCGGGATGCAAGGTGCATGGAGCAGGCCAAGGTTCCCGGGGAGCAGAACACAGCGGTGCCCCTGTCATAATAAGGGTGTTGAGGGTTTAGGGTTTAGGGTTTAGGGTTTAGGGTTTAGGGTTTAGGGTTTAGGGTTAGGGAACCTTACCCCAAAAAGATGGCAACGGGGTTTAGAGTTTAGGGTTCCCCCAGCCCCCCAAACCCCTAGGAACTGAGTTACAGGGTGCAAACTCTGGGGTTTGTAGGAGCGATTGCAGTATTCGATGAGTTCAAGGGGGCTTAGGGCTCAGAAGTGCTTTGATTTAGGATTGGGGCTTACGGCTTACAGCGGCTTCTTTTGTGTTGCTTAGGGTATATGGGGGGTTTCCGTGAGTTGGCAGCCTAGGGCCAGGGAGTCTGAAGGGAGGGACTCGAAGATGTCGTGCCACGCCCTTGCGTTTGGTATTGGAGCCCGGGGTGTAACCGGCACACTGGTGTGTGCTCGCTGTGATAGCGCTGCCTCGTGGTTGAATGGAGATCCATAAGGCACCAAATTTGCACGTTGAGTCCACCACGAAGGACATGCTGGTACATGGCTTCGCGGCGGAAGTGCAGAAACATCAGGCCTCCGCACTGCCTGTGAGCCAAGGTTCTTTTGGCCAGCAACCGCTGCAAGCACCAGAAGGAAGGAAGGAAGGGCTTCCGGGATTCGGGGTACCTTACTGGGGTGCTTACTATAAAGGAATCCTGCCATTTAGGGATCGAAATGGGGGGTCCCCCCATGTTCGTAACCCTAAACCCTAAACCCTAAACTTCGAATTTCGCCCTTTAAAAACTACCGGGAGCTCGGAGGCCTTGCGCTGAACCTCAGCGTGACTTCAGCACTCAAACCCTAGAACCTAAACCCCAGGCCCTAAACCCGAAACCCTAAACCCTAAACCCTAAACCCTAAACCCTAAACCCTAAACCCTAAACCCAAATTAAACCCTAAACCCTAAACCCCAAACCCTAAACCCCAACCCCTAAGCAACCTGCAGCCTAGTGTTCGAGACTCCGCAAGCATCACCAGGGTGGATTCGGGACCCTCTGCGTTGGTCTAGGGTTTAAAGGGTTCATGGTTTGGAGCTTTGGGTTTAGGGTTCTAAACCCTTAAACCTCAAGGTTTCGGATTTTGGGTTGTTAGGGTTGTTCGGATTCTCAGGGTTTAGGGCAGTTCTCGAAATGGGGTTGCCCTTAACATACACCAAATAGAGCATGATCCTATTTTTTCTAAGGACTCCCAAAATGGGTACCCGAATTTCGGAAACTGAAGATTACGTAGGGGATTGGTGGTAAGGGGTTTAGGAGATCAAGGTTCAGGGTCTAGGGTCCAGGGTTTACGGTTTAGGGGCCCTAAACCCCAAACAGCCTTAACCCTCGGCGACTAAACCTGAAACAACCTCGACAACGGCAACCCCAACCCTCCCAACACCCTGCACTTCGGACCCTCATCCGCTAAACCCTAAACAACCTTCCTCCTGAACCCAAAACCCTAAACCCAAAACCCTAAACCCCAAATCCTGGGAAGCTGGGGGTGCCACCACGCCGGACATCCTCCAGTTCCCGCCAGAGCCAGGGCATCGGCTTGGGATGAAGGCTTCGGGGTGGTCAGGTTCCGCCCTAAGAAAGGATTAGGGTTTATAGGGTTTATAGGGTTTATAGGGTTTATAGGGTTCATAGGCCTTATAGGGTTTATAGGGTTTGTAGGGTTTATAGGGTTTATAGGGTTTATAGGGTTTATAGGGTTTATAGGGTTTATAGGGTTTATAGGGTTTAGGGTTTAGCTTAGGGTCGCCGACCCTATGCAGATGCAACCTTCCTGAACCCTAAACCCTAAACCCTTTGTAGACCCCACCTTGCCAGATGTCATGGTGCTTGGGAGACCGGGCACCATGCCTGCTGAGCCGTCTGCGGTTCAGGTAGGGTTTAGGGTTTAGGGTTTAGGGTTTAGGGTTTAGGGTTTAGGGTTTAGGGTTTAGGGTTTGGGGTTTAGGGTTTAGGGTTTAGGGTATAGGGTAAAGGGTTTGTGTAACCCCAAACTAACTCAGGGTCTAGACTCCAAGCTCACACGTGCACATTTCACGACACTGTGCTTCCTTTCTCCGGTCGAATGCGAGCGCGATGCGATCTAGGTTTAAGTTGAGGGCGTTGGCGGGCTCCACAAGCATGTCTTGCTCTAAAAAAGGAACCAGCCCTTCGCTACCCCAAGGAACCTAGCAAAAGAGCCAGCTGCCTTCCAGGGCTTCGGGTTTAGGGTTTAGGGTTCCAAAGCTTAGGGTTTAGGGCTTCGGGTTTAGGGTTTAGGGTTCCAGGGCTTAGGGTTTTCAATGCTCTTAGCTTCGGGCAAGCTGAAATAGCCTCAAGGGCCCAGTCGGAGCGAGTTTGGGTCTGGCAACGTGGCTTCTGTACGTGAAATGCTCTGTGAATTTGGCCGGTTCTCTGGTTATGACCCTTTTTCTGATATCCTGAATATGCGGGGCCTTATGATGGTAACAAAAGAGGACTCTTATCCAGAGAACCTGGCCAATGTCTAGACTCTAGACACTGAAGCTTCGGTACGCGAAGCCTAAACGCAGCTGCAGCTGTGTCTGCTGAAACCTGAGCTATAGAGGCCAGCTTCATCTAGTTGTGGTCCATCATCTCCCATCCCTAAAGTCCTAAAAGCCAAACAACAATACGAGCCCGAACTCCCGCTGCAGAAGGGAGTGGCGGGCCAGGAAGCGCGTGCGTACGCTAGTACTTGCTGTCCGGAACTGCGCCCAAGATGTCCTGCGAGGCAGTTGCAGAGTTTAGGCTACATGTCCGAGGACCTCTGAGGCCCTATACCCAAACGCCAAACCCACACCCTGTAGCGCAAATCCTGTACATGCATACCCTAAACTCTAAAGCCAAAGCCCCGAGAACGGATAGAAATCCTGGACAAAGCATCCCAAGCCCTGTAGGACCTAAACCTCTAGACTCCCAGAGCCACAACCCTAAGCCCTACAAGGTTCAAAGCCTGGCAAGTTCCCATGACCCTAAACCCTAAACCCTAAACCCTAAACCCTAAACCCTAAACCCTAAACCCTAAACCCTAAACCCTAAACCCCCCCCCCCCCCCAGAAATGGTGGGCCTTAAGGCCCCGCGCTCCTGGGACCCAGCCCAGACTTCGGCCACGATCTCCGCCGCCGGTTTCGCCGAGGCGAGGCCGGCGCTCTGACCGGCCCATGCCTGCAAGTTCCATGGGGCTTAGGGTTTAGGGTTTAGGGTTTCGGGTTTAGGGTTTAGGGTTTGGGGTTTGGGGTTTTGGGTTTGGGGGTTGTGGTTTGGGGTTTGGGGTTTGGGGTTTAGGGTTTGGGGTTTGGGGTTTTGGGGTTTAGGTTTTTGGGTTTGGGGGTTTGGCGGTTTAGGGTTTGGGGTTTGGGCTTTAGGGTTTGGGGTTTAGGGTTTAGGGTTTAGGGCCTGGGGTTTAGGGTTTGGGGTTTTGGGTTTGGGGTTTTGGCTTTTGGGTTTATTACATTGGCCTTTCCGTATGGGACCTTGAGTTGGAAACCTTTCCTGCCCCTTCTATTCTCGTAGGGGTTTAGGGGTGAGGGTTTAGGGTTTAGGGTTTAGGGATATGGTCAGTTCTTTAAAATATGGTCCCTGTTTGAGCGCCCGAAACAAGAGGGGCCGGAACCATATTTTAGAGAAATGACCAAAAACCCTCCAACCCAGAACCCTGGCAACAAAAACAGACGGCCTTTTTCAAAGTAAGAAAGCACAGGGACGACATTAAAGTACCCTTAGATTCTGGGGGATTCGGATGCAGTCGAGGCTAACTGTAAACCCTGTAGACCTTAAGGGGGGGCTGAGGGTTTCTGAGTCCGACACCCTAAGCCCTGCACAACCCTAAGCCCTAAAGCCCTAAAGCCCTAGAGCCCTAAAGCCCTAAAGCCCTAAAGCCCTGAAGCCCTAAAGCCCGAAAGCCCTGAAGCCCTAAAGCCCTGAAGCCCTAAAGCCCTAAAGCCCTAAAACCCTGAAGCCCTAAAGCCCTAAAGCCCTCAAGCCCTAAAGCCCTAAAGCCCTAAAGCCCTGAAACCCTAAGCCCCTTCTAAGGTTTCCTTTCCTCCGAGGGGCACCCTAAAACCTAAAACCTAAAACCCTAAAACCCTACAAACCTAAACCCTAAACCCTAAACCTTAAACCCTAAATGCTTACAACCCTAAACCCTAAACCCTAAACCCCAAACCCCAAACCCTAAACCCTAAACCCCAAACCCCAAACCCTAAACCCTAAACCCCAAAGCCTAAACCTTCCTTTCCTCCGAGGGGCCATCATGCTCTCTAGGCGCTGGTCTTTCGCCGCCTGGGAGGCGGATGGGGGGGGGGGGGGGGGGGTAGGGTTTAGGGTTTAGGGTTTAGGTTTTAGGGTTTAGGGTTTAGGGTTTAGGGTTTAGGGTTTAGGGTTTAGGGTTTAGGGTTTAGGGTTTAGGGTTTAGGGTTTAGGGTTTAGGGTTTAGGGTTTAGGGTTTAGGGTTTAGGGTTTAGGGTTTAGGGTTTAGGGTTTTGGGTTTTGGGTTTTGGGTTTTGGGAAGTAAGACCCTAAAAACTCCTGAGCCGAAGGGTTTAGGGTTTAGGGTTTGGGGTGTAGGGCTTAGGACTTTTCAAGAGGCTTATAAGGGAACCTCACACTGGGCCCTAGAAAACCCTGAAATCCTAAACAGCAGACCCTGAAATCACCAACCAGATTTCCTTAAACCCTAAACCCTAAACCCTAAACTTTCAACCCTAAACCCACCACGATTCGATCCGAGGGCCCGCAGCTTCGTTTTTAGGGCTTTGGTTTTGGGTTTTATGGGTTTAAGGTCGGGTGTTTGGCGCTTGAACCCTCACAGACGTTAGGCCCCTACACCCTAAACCCTAAACCCCAAACCCCAAACCCTAAACCCTAAACCCTAAACCAACTCTGCAAAAGCCCTAGATCCTGAACCCTGCTGCCCCCAGGCATGCCCCACCGGGACCCGGAGGTCTCTCGACATGAACCTGCAACCGTGTTTTTTCGGGCCCTTGGGAGGTCCAGAAAGGGTGTTTAAGGTTTAGGGTTTAGGGTTTAGGGTTTAGGGTTTCGGGTTTAGGGCTACAAGGTCGTGTAAGCTTTGGGGGTTTCGGAAAACAACTGAACCCCCCCTACTAAACCCTATAGTGGGGGGGTTTCCGAAATTACGGGTACATTCTTGCGGTCCATCTTTTAAAGGAATCCTACTATTTGGGGATCTTTATTAAGGGTCCCTTAGTATCGCAACCTGCAATTTTTCCAAGTTCGGGGTATGGGTTTGACCCAGGGTAGAGAGGTGCTGCCTACACCCTCAGCCCTCAACCCTGAACCCTTGCAAGCCCCTCCGGCTCCCTCAACCCTAAACCCTAAACCCTAAACCCTAAACCCTAAACCCTAAACCCTAAACCCTAAACCCTAAACCCTAAACCCTAAACCCTAAACCCTGACCCCTAAACCCTAAACCCTAGAAAACATCAAGGTCTCGGCGCCTGCACCCTCATGGGCGTGGTGAGCCCGCGCTGCACCGGATAGGGCGCCGGCTCAGGCGCTTCGGGTGCCAGAGACGCAACCGTGTAGGCCGTCTTGAGGCTACGGCCTGAAAGGCCGTGGAGTTCGGTTTAAAGGTTTGGGTTAGGGTTTCGGGTTAGGGTTTAGGGTTAGGGTTTAGGGTTTCGGGCTTAGGGTCTAGGGTTTAGGGCTGTAGGGTTTAGGGCTCAGGGCTTTCGGTTTGGGCTCAAGGCTTCGGGATTCTAACCCGACAGGGGGGTGGCGGAGCCAAAGCAGATTGGAACATTCAGACCTCACTTGCAAGCCCTCGCACCAGATTGGTAACCCTTCAAATTGGGCCGTGTATCGGGTTTAGGGTTTAGGGTTTAGGGTTTAGGGTTTAGGGTTTAGGGTTCCTTATGATGGGTACGAGGTTCGGCGACGCTTGGTCCCTGAAACAAAACAGAATTCGGGATCCAGGTGCCTAGCCGAAACACTCTCGTCTAAAGCCATGAGCCCTGAATCCTTTGAACATCTAAACGGAAACACCCTCAACCCTAAACCCTAAACCCCAAACCTTGAACCCTAAACCAGCACGTGAAGTCCGGGCCTAGACGCCCGGAGAAGGCCCGCGAGGCCACAGTGTCTTCTGGCCTCAAGCGGGGCTCGTTTACAGCACACATGGACCCTAAAATGTGCACATGAAAGAGTGCCTTCTGTGGGGTAGCAGGTAAGAAGGGTCCATGTTGGCATATATCTACCATGGTTGCATGTTCTATCCATCCATTTTCTATGTGTTCGCGTATGGGCATATGCCATGCTATAAAACACACCCTAAAACCCCAAACCCAAAGAAAACAAAGCCCCAAAACCCCCAAGCCTGAAACATTAAAAGCCCTATCCGACACAAACCCCAAAAACTTCATTACCAAACATAAAAAGCCTGCTCTCAGAATCAGACCGGGAGGTGCCAAGCGCATCGGCCCACACGCGTGGGATGGCGGCCTGTTCGTTTCGGGTTTCCGGGTTTCGGGTTTAGAGTTTCGGGTTTCGGGTTTGGGGCTGGGGGAGGGAAACCCTTCTTGACACTTCGCAAAAACTTGGCTCCCCATGCTGGGGACATCTGCTGCGGATCGGCTTAGGATGGGGGGGGGGGGGGGCTTGGAGAAGGCTCCAGAGCTTTGATTTTGCAAACAAGCCTCGAAAGCAGGTCCGGCGTAAGGGAACGTAAACAAAAAACACACAAGCCTCTGTACCCTAAACCCCTGGCCCCTAACCACTTGCATCCCTAGACCCTACAAGCTACAACACGAAACCCTAAAAACATAAACCCTAAACACCCAAAGCTACTACGCTCAGCTTTTATGAACCCCTGGGCCCTATGAACCCTAAACCCTATACGCCATCAACCCTGAATTCTGTAAGCACTAAAGACAAGGTCCCATTCTTTCCTATAAGCCCTAAACCCTATAAACGCTACATGCAAAAACTATAACCCCTGAACCCCGTGAAGCCCACACATCCTATGAGACGAGTAGCAACCTTAATCCCAATAAGCCGTCAATCCCAAATAAAGTGCAAACTAAGCCCTGCACACACCAAACAACCTAAACCCTATTACTTATAAACCCTAAACAATATGAGCCCTAGACACTATACATCCGAAAGCCTGTAACCTATCAACATGAAACCCTACCAACGAAGCCTGGCAACCCAAAACCCTAACCCCCAAACGATTCGAGCGCGACAAGCCCAAACTACCCCCAAACCCTAAACACGCTCAGGCCTGCGACTTGCTTACCCTAAACCCCATGGATGCCCTCAACAAGCCCTTACAAGCCCGATATGCCCTCCCGTGACTCCCCAAGGTCTCGAAACACACCACAAATTATCACTGTAGGCGTCGCCAGCCTGTCCCAAATTGAATATTTGCTGGGCAGACGCTTCTACTAAGACCAGAACTTCCAAGGACGAAAAGCAGACTCGACATGTCTCACACAACACAACAAGCTCATTCAACCTTTCTTGGGTGGAAACTTAGCTTCATCATGTCTTTGTAGCATGACATGATCATAGACCAAGCACAGCCTTTTACATTTCCTTTATGGTGATTAAGGAACAGGACTACGGGTAAGGTGTAGTCGAGAAAATGACAGGCCGAACCCAGTTCTTCGCAAATGGAACTGGTGGCTTGTGTTTCTCCCACACATGCAACAGGAACATACAAGTTTGAGATTGTACTATAATCCGAGCTTCTGATTAGTGGGTGGGCCCCCCCCCCCCCACAATAAGGAATGCAGGGTTCCGCAATAGTTGGACCGTGGCCCTGTATTGATTCTCTATTAAAAACAATAGGCTGCAGATCCCTGAGGTGCTGTAGCTTTGCGTCTCCGCAAGCAAAACAAGAAGCCTGCCGACAGATTTTTGAACCCCCCCAAAAAAAATCCTTTAAATGTGGGGGGTTTGTCCCATACGAAATCCACCCTAATGGAAAGTAGTCTTCCGGCGGGCTTCCGGCCAAAAAAAAATTCTTTAAATGTGGGGGTATTAATTAATCAGATGCTCGGATTAAACTGATTTTTGCAAGCTCCGAAAATGTACGACTAAATATCTGTTTGCGAGTAATTGGGACCTGCGATTTCTACATGTATCCTTCGCCCTCTTCCTTAATCACGATGAAGGCGGTGCTTGGTCTATGATCATGTCATGCCAAGACAAGCTGAAGCTAAGTTTCCGTCCAAGACAAGTGAATTGAGCTCGTTTCATGGGTTTCCCTACAACCCCCCCTCTATACTAACCCCCCCCCCCTAAGTTCCCGCCTGAAGTAACCTTAACTAGGCCGAATTATGCCCAGATAGCCTTAATTCTGGGGGGAACCTCGGGGGGGGGGAGGTATAGAGGGGGGTAGTAGGGGAAAGGGGGGCCCATGATTTAGCTTCGCCCTCCTTGGAACCTTGGAACTTCTGGTCTGCTACCCGAGTGGGGATGCTTGAGTGGTACTTGTTTCGGAACCATCGCCGGCCAGAGCGGAAGCCCTGCACCCCTAAACCCAGGGTTTAGGGTTTAGGGTTTAGGGCTTAGGGCTTAGGGCTTAGGGTTTAGGGTTTAGGGTTTAGGGTTTAGGGTTTAGGGTTTAAGGTTTAGGGTTTAGGGCTACTGCAGCAAGAACTCCAACCCAAGAGCTCCTCCGGGCTCCGCAGCAGACCCGTTCCCATCTGCACGGCAGAGGCGCCCAGGGCGAAGGCCGCGGCGGCGCCGCGTGCGTCCGCCACCCCTCCCGTGGCGATCACCGGCACCTTTAGAGCTTTTTGTTCAGGGTTTTAGGGTTTTTAGGGTTTTTAGGGTTTTTAGGGTTTAGGGTTTGGGGTTGAGGGTTTAGGGAGTATGGTTTAGGGAGTTTTTGGAGGGGTTTGAGGGGTTTGAAGGGTCTAGGTGCTCAGGAGCTTTAGGGCTTTTGGGGCTTTCAGGGGTTGGGGGGATTCAGGGCGTTTAGGGGTCTTAGGGTATGGGTGGGGGGGATAGGCCCTGGGGTTCAGGGGCTTCGGGTTGGGGTTTCTTGAATCACGGGACCTGAGCCCAAAGCAGATGGAAGCCATGGAACCCTCCCCCCCCCTCCGCACATATGCCCTCCATGGACATTGCATCTGACAATAGCCGACACCCGACATCCCTCAAACGAAGCCGGGACCCGGGGGGCCAAAGGCACCCGCACGGCATCCACGATAGCCGGAAGTAGGGAAAACAGGCCCACGAGGTCCTGCAGGCGTGGGGTCCTAGAGTTTTTTTTTGGGCTTCATCGAATGCTCTCGGTCGTTTCTCGGTAGGTGGATGCAACTAACCGGTCAGTTCTCGAAATTATGGTCCCCTTGTTGAGTACCCTCAAGAACAGAGGCCGCCTTATGATAGCAATCCTAGCAGACAATAATTTAGAAGAGTGGCCAACCAAGAACCTACTTGACCCTCCGATGGGACCTAAACCCTATAAATCCTAAAACCGGGGGGGGGACTTTTTTCACACGAACAAACGGAGATGAGAGGCCCTCAAGTGGATTGGGGCGCCCTCTCTCCGCTTGAAGTAGGATCTACATCGAGTTCTAAGGCCCAACACAACTTTAGAAGTAGCAACGGTAAGAGGTCTAAAGCCTACCCTAAACCCTAAACCCTAAACCCTAAACCCCAAACCCTAAACCCTAAACCCCAAACCCTAAACCCTATAAATTCCCAAAAGCCCTCACCCCTCAATCGCTCACAGCCTCCAAGCTCCAACCCAAGAAGGCCCCAGCCTGCCAGAGCCCCTCACCTTTCAACCTCGCAACAAGCGGTTCTAGCTATCCACCCCTAAACCCTAAACCCTAAACCCGAAACCCGAAACCCGAAACCCTAAACCCCAAACCCCAAACCCTAAACCCTAAACCCTTGCTTTGCTCGTGGGGTTCAGGGTGGATCCAGTCCCGGGCGGCATCCTCCGCCTTAAAAGCGCCTCGGTGGCCTCCTGCTTCCTTGCTTCCGTGGGAGGGTTTAGGGTTTAGGGTTTAGGGTTAAGGGTTTAGGGTTTGGGGTTTAGGGTTTAGGGTTTTGGGTTTAGGGTTTGGGGGGGGGTTTAGGATGCTGAGGGCTTTTGGTTTTGCAGGTTCGTGGCCTGTTTCGGGCAGGGTAACACTTGTGGCTAAGGGGTTGAGGGTCGTTTGTAGGCAAAGCTATGCCTATCGAGTGGCAGGTACCATACTCAACAATTTTTCACTACCCACTTGCAAGTGCCCAGAGCCTTCAACAACACTTTTTGTTCGCCAGCCCAACCCCTGAAAAAAAGGGACCCCGTAAAGGTCTTACGATGGTCATAGGGTACATGTTTCGTAAACAAACAATTAACCCATAAACTCTCAACCCTAAACCCTAAACCGTACCCTAGACCCCCCACTCTATTCGTCAAAAGCATCTCGGATCCTTTGGTAGGTTCCGTCCTGGTCTTCAGGGTTGGGCAAGGAGCCGCGTGCTCTTTCGGGGCATCAGGGTTGTGATGAAAGAGTGCGTTGAAACCTGAAAAAACATGATACTAAAAACAAGAAAAGAACATCAGATGCCATTGTGTGACTTGTTGATCTTCATCATCCTCTACTGTTTCTGTGATGCTCAATAATCGACATTGTTTTTTTGCTTACTTACTCTTCATTTCTTCATGTGTCTCATCCATTCTTTCTTGTTCTTGCCTAGTTGCTCCTGTTTGTTCTAGCTTATGGTTCTTGGGATCGACTTGGAGGTTCAGGGGTACTTATAACCCACTTATAAGCCCCTTAAGTGCCCCAAGATGGAAATAACTTGGGTTCTCTACGTACAGCTATAGTTGGTGAGCAAGTACCCTGAACCTTCAAGCACACCCTAAACTCTAAACCCTAAACCCGAACCCTAAACCCCTAATCCGAGCACCTGTTTAATCAAACCCCCCCCCACATTTAAAGACATTTTTTGCGGCCGGAAGCCCGCCGGAAGACTACTTTCCATTAGGGTGGATTTCGTATGGGGATAGCCCCCCACATTTAAAGAAATTTGTTTGGGGGGGTTCAAAAATCTGTCGGCAGGCTTTTTGTTTTGCTTGCGGACATGCGAAGCTACAGCACCTCAGGGATCTGCAGCCTATTGTTTTTAATAGGAGAATCAATGCAGGTCCATGGTCCAATTATTGCGGAACCCTGCCTTCCTTATTGCGGGGGGGGGGGGGGGGGGGCCCAATTAAACAGGTGCTCGGATTATCTATGCCAGGGCACCATTCCCTGCGCCACGATGGCATCGGCTCCGGCACCTTCCGCTGCCAGGGCCTCGTGGACTGTGGTCGCCACCGCGAACCACTTGATGCCGTGGGCCTTCGCGTTTAGGGTTTAGGGTTTAGGGTTTGGGGTTTAGGGTTTCGGGTTTAGGGTTTGGGGTTTGGGATTTGGGGTTTGGGGTTTAAGGTTAAGAGTTTGGGACCCAAGAGCAACCTAGGAATAACAAATGGTGCCCTTCTTGGTTGTTAAGGGGCTTATAAGGGAACCTAACACCCCCCAAAAAGGGGAATCAGGGCCGACTCTGGATCTTAGGTATACAGCTTCCGTGTATATGGTAACTTCTCTAAATTATGGCCCCTTTTTGGAGTGCCCTAAAGAAGAGGGGCCGCCTGATAGTAAGGACCCCAAAAGCGGCCATGTTAGAGAAGTGACCATATAGGGTGTAGGTATTGTGGGACTGTTAGGGCTTTAGGGTTTTGATTTTGGGTTTCAGGTTGAGGCTTGAGGCCTCCCAAAAGAGTCATAACCGTGGCCCATATACTCTCTGTTTTCGCGTCTCACCATGGTTGCTTTCGGGGTCAAGAAATAGACTAAGGGTTTCCAAGAATGGGGTATCCTTTTTGGGGGTCACTTGGAAGGGATTCCATTCTATTTGGGGTATAAACGGGGTACCCCTATTCTGGGAAATGCCCCAATGATCTGCATACATTTGGGGCTGGAACTTGCCGTAAGGAAGCTTAAAGCAGGGGCTGCCGAGGCGGCGCCCCGCTTGGCCGAACTCCGGGTTTACCTTTCAACCGAGGGTTTAGGGTTTAGGTTTCAGGGTTCAGTGTTTAGGGTTTAGGGTTTAGGGTTCAGGGTTCAGGGTTCAGGGTTCAGGGTTTAGGGTTTAGGGAACCCTCAACCCTACACCCTAAACCCTAAAGCTCTGAACCCCACACTCCAAAGTCTACTCCGAAACCCTTAAACCCTTAAATCCTTAAACCCCTAAACCCTTAAACCCTTGAACCCTTAATCCCTAAACCCTAAACCCTAAACCCTAAACCCTAAACCTCGGATGCATAAAGCCTAAAACCGAGGAAATCTCGACCAGGGTCCTGATCCATCGAATAGAACTTGTTTTGTAAAAAGGGCGTAGCCACTTGGGAACCCAGCAATTAACCCAGACCACTTGGACCCGACTACTTAATGCGAGGGAACCCAGAACCCCCAAAAAAGGGCAAAGGGGTAGCACTGGGCTGCTAAGGATCCAAGGTCACTTTTGGCCCTGTGATTATGGCGTTTGTCCCTTCAAGTGATGTAGTTTCGGGTTTAGGGGTTTAAGGTTTTGGGCAGCAAGCTGAGCCCGCTCTGACCCCAACCTGCAGGGCTCTACATGCCCGGGCTATTGGCTATGCCAACCACTGTTTTGCAGTTTGGAGTCAGACCCAAAAGTCAAGCTGCAACCCTTGACCCAAGTCCCCTGAACGACTCCCCATTCGCCTTCATTTGCTCCACATGCTTGGCGGAGTAAAGGCCCATGATTGACGAGATTACGGCCGGCCGAGCCTGACACAGTTCTTGGCTTTGGCATGGGTTGTTGTCAAAATCCCTGTTCCCGAAAGTGACGTTAAATCGGAACTCCCTCGGTGGAAAAAGAAGCTGATTGAGACGGAGTAGCAAATGCGACATTTGAAGGGTCCAAGCATGATTTCCTAGAAAGGGTGCTAGCGCGGACCATTTTTCAGGCGCTGCTGTCGGACGAGTCGTCACAAGAACTGCTAGTGTTACTGCTACATACTGCTACTGCTGGAGTTCTGGCGTGAGCGAAGGTTTCCTCCGCTGTCGCCACTTGCGGGGCTCGAGCTCCAGCAAGCATAGCCTCGGTACTATGGTGTTCCTTTGTGGTCTTCTAGAGGAGAGGAGGAATGGGCCATGGTCCGCCGGGGGAGGTTGCGTTGACATTTTGCTAGCGCCGTGCTAGCGCGGCGCTAGCACAAAACACTGTGCCGGATTTTGGGACGGCAAACTAGGTAACGGCGCACCAGCATCTGGCTCCTTCAAATGTTCGTCTTGCGAACTGTTTTGATGCTCGCTTTGGTTTGATAACGCCAACAACAGCTTGCATGTGTGTGCGTGTGCGAAAACCTTGACTAGTGTTTTCTATGATTATACATTGTTGCACGTTCCTATAAGCTGTTGTGTACCTTTATGAACTTAAGTTTCCTACACTTCCATATGCGTCATGCCCACAAAGCAACTTGCCACCGCCAAGTCAGAAAGACAAAACGAAATCAGATGAGGGAGCAAGGGGTGAAAACAAAAAAAAGCCAAAACAATGAACGGATTGGTGAATTTCTTGAGGGCTTGCTTAAGGACGTCGGGGGGGGGGGGGGGGGGGGGGGGGGGGGGGTGTGCACGACTGCGAGGTTGGCCATGCTCCATGAACACCCTGAGCCGGCATAACTTTCTGAATCCCCACAAAAGGCCTGACTTCCCACAAACATGCCCAGCCCCCAAACATGCCCCCCACAAACCCTCCAAAATTCCTAAGACCCTAAACCCTAAACCCTAGACCCTAAACCCCCTAGTATGCCGTCAGCCCCAAAGTCCTTGGATTTAGGGTTCAAGGGATTCAAGGGGAGACCCCCCTGTCACCGCAACGCGCGTCCAAGTGCTGTGCGGAACGGCCAATGCATAGTTCAACAGGTGTATGAAGTTACCCTTACTCCGGTCTTCCCTGGTAGTCGTGGAGAAACTTCTGCAACAATTTTGCGATTTTCTAACCCCCCTGAACCCTAAACCCAAACCTTTGATCCCAAACCTTTGCACCTAAACCCTTAAACCCTGAAACACAACCCTTAAACCCCTACACCCATAAACCCTACAACCCTTCAACCCTTAGACCCCTCTTTGGGCCAGCTCGCCCCCCCCTCCCCCCCCCTCCCTCCCCCTCCCCCTCCCCGCCCCCTTCCCCCCCCCTTGTGGGTTTTGGGTCCCCCCCCCCCCCTTCATGGTCTGTGGTTCATGGGTTTTTCGGGGTTTAGGGTTAGGCTGTAGAGTTCAGGATCCGCCGACCCTGGCGGCGTGTTGGATAGGTTTCTGGAGGTGAAAACCTCCCTCTTTCCCTCCTTACCCCCCAAAACGCGGGGGGGGGGGGAGGGGGGGGGGTTTCTCTGTCCTCTGTCCTCCCCGTGGTCTGTGGTGTTTAGGGTTAACAGGCAGGGTTTAGGGGGGGATGCCATGGGGGTGGGGAGGCGATACCATTGGCGGGGGGGGGGGGGGGGGGGATTCGATTACGAGGAACGCGGGGGCATATAAACCCTCAAACCGAAAACCCCTAAACCCCTAAACCCTTAGACGCTTACACCCTTACACCCTTCAAGCCTAAAACCCCGGACCCCTAAACCCTTAGCCCCTACACAACACCTAAACCCTAAACCCTAAACCCTAAACCCTAAACCCTAAACCCTAAACCCTAAACCCTAAACCCCTAAACCCCTAAACCCTAAACCCTAAATCCCGGAATGCCTCAATCATGGCAGCCACTTGCGCATCAAAGTCGACGATCGTCGCATCTCCGGCGTCTGCCGGGACCTCTTCAGGGTATGTTTGGGGTTTAGGGTTTAGGGTTTCGGGTTTAGGGTTTGGGGTTTCGGGTTTAGGGTTTGGGGTTTAGGGTTTCGGGTTTAGGGTTTAGGGTTTGGGGATTGGGGTTTAGGGTTTAGGGTTTAGGGTCTAGGGTTTAGGGTTTAGGGTTTAGGGTTTTGAGTGAGGTCTACCTGTAAGAACCCAAAACCTACCTTTTGTAGGGTCCTATTCTGGAACATTTACAAGGATTTTCGGAGACCTACAAGAAGTAGAATATGGGGTTTCGGGATTTCAGAGTTTCGGGGTTGGGGTTTAGGGTGGTTTATGGCGGGTGCCCGCGACGCCACTGGTAGGGTTAGAGCCTTTAGTCTTTGAGCTTACACTGGCTTAGGGTTTCGGGTTTAGGGTGGAGCTTCTAGGACTTAACAAGCACGTGTTACGGGGCTCAGAGCGCTTGTGGAGGTCATAGGCCCACAGGGCTATACAGGCAAAGGAGCTCGAAAGGTTCATGCGGATTTCGGGGCTTCCGGGGTCTATAGGGTTTCGGGTTTGGGTTTAAGGTGGTTTTGACAGGGGGCTCTGCAAAATTCCTTATAGGCTTAACTTATAGGATTATTGGGGGGGGGGGGGGGTATGGTGCACAGTCCCAAATTCCCGAATTCCTACCAAGAATTAATAGGAAAGGACCCCACACCGTAGCTGTAAGTTGCCGGATGTTGCCTTCTCAGACTGTACATGTCAGTTAATTAACATGGCAGAGCAAGAGATACTGCGGCCTGCATATGCAGGGTACCCAAAGCAGAGCACAACTCACAGAACTGCCATATTAATATCACCCCTAAACGCTAAACCCTAAACCCTTGTATCAACCCAGATCGTCAAACTAGGGAGTGCCTCGGGACCCCAGCGAGCCAAGAACTCTCGCACGCGCTGCTCCTCTGTTCAGACGGTTCAGGAGGCAGCCTACAAGGGTTTAGGGTTTAGGGTTTAGGGTTTAGGGTTTAGTTTTTTTTTTAAACCGGAATCGCAGAAACTGCGCGGCAAGGATTGCCGTCCGGTCGGCGTGAAACACTTCTTCAGCCCCCCAAGGAAGTCGTAGTAGCGGACAGGGGTTTAGGGTTTAGGGTCTGGGGTTTAGGGTCTAGGGTCTAGGGTCTAGGGTTTAGGGTTTAGGGTTTAGGGCTCCAGGGCACCTCAGAAGGACAGTTTGCGCTCTGACGAGGGTCGGGGATTGTAAGAATGCACAAGCACATGTAGGATAAGTTATCGTACATGTTGAAATACAGAAGTTATCTTAGTAGATCAGAATTTATAGCCAGATAAAATAACATTGGGTCATACTATACAAATATTATATATGAACATATTTGTGAACATGCATGATTATAAGTAAAAAATAAGCTAATACATAAGTATATTAATATTCAACATATTTCAATACATATAGCAATATCCAAGAGTTATAGTGATGTAAAATACTATATACAATATGCAATAGTACATTCATAAAGTATAAAATTGCCATCGTGTAAAATAGGAATCTACTCCGTGTCTTCACATCCACTGCTCTGCGGCAGCTTGTGAAAGAACCTTGCATACGAGGGAATAGGGTTGGTCGACATGACATGTTCGGTGTAGGGTTTAGGGTTTAGGGTTTAGGGTTTAGGGTTTAGGGTTTGGGGTTTGGGGTTTGGGGTTTGGGGTTTGGGGTTTGGGGTTTGGGGTTTGGGGTTTGGGGTTTGGGGTTTGGGGTTTGGGGTTTGGGGTTTAGGTTGAGGGGGGAATCTGGCCAGAGGGACCCCATCTTGCGTGATGCTGACGTTGGTTTAGGTTTTAGGATTTGGGGTTTTTCAAATTATATAGGTTGGGCGAAGTTCTAGAGGACTTTCCCTAAACACAAGCCCCGACCTTTCCTATGTTTTGTGTCTGCTAGACGCTAAACCCTAAACCTTAAACCCTAGACCCCTACACCGCATAACGCTAAACTCCGTACCCTACAACCCTAAACCTGAAGCCCTAAACCCTAAACCCTAAACCCTAAACCCCTCGAGCCTTCCTAGAGCCGGCTCCTTCGCAGCATCGCGGTGGGGTGATGGGTCCGGCACCCAGGTGTTCAGCTGCAGCTGCCCTGGCAGGTGCCAAAAAAACTGATGGGTTTAGGGTTTAGGGTTTAGGGCTAGGGTTTAGGGTTTAGGGTTTAGGGTTTAGGTTTAGGGTTTCGGGTTTCGGGTTTAGGGTTTAGGTTTTAGGGTTCAGGGTCAGGGGTTTAGGGTGTGTCACAGGGTTTGAATGGGGCCTCCCCTGCAAATTCGGCTCCGCTATATGGTCACTTGTCAAAACGATGGTCTTTTTCGGGGCACCCCAAATGTTCGGGGCCGCCTCATAATAGTAAACCCCCAAACGGGACCATGACTTAGAGAAGTGACCTTTAGGTACCCTAAACCCTAAACCCTAAACCCTACACCCTACACCCCAAACCCTAAACCCTAAACTCTGGGCTGAACAATCCTAGAGGTGATACGGGTTGAGGGCGGAGGGACTACCACCCCCCCCCCCCTGGCATCCCCTCACTCTCGGCGCCTCCAAGACCCAGGGGGCCCTACTTGAATATAGCGGTTTAGGGTTTAGGGTTTAGGGTCAAGGATCGGTAGTGGTTGCAGAGGCTCTACTCACGAAGTAGAGCTGCTCTATGTCAAGCCCCACACTGAGTCACAGAGAAGATGCCCATGGGCCTACAAGCAGCCCCCGTGCAAGTGTTCACTTGAGCGTCGGCTTCGGGGATTGTAGGGATTAGGGTTTAGGGTTTAGGGCCGTTTCGGGGATTGAGGGATCGGGGCTCCGGCACGGCTGCTGAGAAAGACCGTCTGAGCGGTGTGCGGGTAGCAGGCCGCGCGGTTCTGAGAAGAGCAGCTGTAGACAAAGGCCCCGAACTTGAACCATGGTAAGCACAAGGGTATGGGTTTGGCGTGAGGTGTTGGGGTTAGTTAGGGATAAGGGCTTACCCTAGCGCTCCAAGGATACCACGAATACACCCACTATGGGATCCTTGGGTTAGGGTTTTGTTGAGGCACTGGCAGCCCTAAACCCTAAACCATAAACCCGAGTCCCTAAACCCTAAACCCGGAAACCCGAGTGAAATCTTGAGGCGACTGGCCTTGTGATTTGGCTCGGAACTCAGACGTCCATTGCAAGATCTGCTCCTCGGAAGCGTTTCTGTTTGGATAGGGGTTGAGGACTTAGGGTTTAGGGTTTGGGGTTTGGGGTTTGGGGTTTAGGGTTCAGGCAGCCATCTAGCGTTTACGGCTTGGGGTTAGAAAAGGGTTCTGAACATCAATCGGTCCTTTAGAGATGACTCCCGGCTATGCCCTGAACCCTAAACCCCATACCCTAAACCCCGAACCCTGAACCCTAAACTCAAAACCCCTACGAGTACCCTAAACTCTACCAGTCAAGGATCCAGGGGTTGTACCCCTAAGAGGTTTCCCTTCTAGCCGAATCCCCATATGGCCCCGAAATTTGCGGCTTCGGGTTTAGGGTTTAGGGTTTAGGGTTTAGGGTTTAGGGTTTCGGGTTTAGGGTTTAGGGTTTAGGGTTCAGGGTTAGGGTTCGGGCTTTGGGGATCATAGGAGTCCCCAAGCCCAACTATACAACCTCCGGGTCCATGTGGCATCCCCGACATAGTACACCCCCCAAAAGGGTTTGGGTTTAATTTGGGTTTAGGGACACTTCCCTCAAGCCCCAAACCCTCAAACCCCTGAACCTTTGCTGCTGGCAAGCTGGACCCATCGCCAGGACGCCGCAAGACCCCATTCCTCCTGCGCTTGGGGGTTTAAGGGTTCTTTTGTCAGGAGACCGGTTTTAAAGGGGGGTTAAGAGGGTCCGAGTGTAGGACTTTAGGACATAAGGGTGCCAAACTTAAGGGGGGTGGCAAGGCGTTCAAGGGGAGGTGCATGGCTTCCAGGTTCGTCCTGATCGCAGCTTGGAGCCGTTTGCGCTTTGAAGATGTTGGGGGTGTAGGGTGTAGGGTTCAGGGCGTAGCGTTTTAGGGCTTAAGGTTTTGGGCTTAAGGGCCGGCTTGCATTTTTTCAGGCTCAGCAAGCTTAGGCAAGGCTTCCGGGCTCGTGCTATGAGTTCAGGGGTCTCATGACAAAGCTCACTCAGGCGAATGGAGAACAGCCAACAACCAGTTCGTCTACATGCACTATCTGAATTACTGCCACACTCCCTAAAACCCTGCTGGCTTCGGGCCTTGCGGGTTTAGGGTTTGGTGTCGGGTTTAGAGTTTAGGCACCCCTGAACCCTGAATGTCCCAGAGCCCCAAGCTTGACTACCAGCCCTGAACACCGAACCCGAAAACTTCTCGCCCAAAAGGGGGGGCAGGGGGGAAACCCTAACCCCAAAACCCAAAACCCCAAACCTGGAAAAGAGCTGCTGGGAGCTTTTGGTTCCATGACCCTAAACCCTAAGCCCTAAACCCGAAACCCGAAACCCTAAGCCCTAAACCCTAGCCCTAAAGCCTAAACTCGCCGAGGCCTCCCCTCCCCCTGCCTGCGTTTGCAACGGCGGCTGCCAGAGCAACCTGGGCGCCGGTTTAGGGTTTGGGGTTTGGGGTTTACGGTTTAGGGTCTGGGGTTTGGGGGTTAGGGTTTAGGGTTTGGGGTTTTGAGGGTTTAGGGTTTGAGGAGGAAAATTAAGGTCTATGCTTTTAGGGTATAATCGCTTCCCCCTTATACTAAACCCCCCCCCCCCCTAATTTTAAATATCTTTGTTCCCGGACCCTGCCGGCACCCAGCCCAATACTAAACCTGTTTGAGAATTGGGGGGGGAGGGGTTCAGGGCCTTCGCCCTTGTTTGAGGGTTTAGGGCTGAATGCTGACAGGGTTCGGATCCAGGGCTCAGGGCTTAGAGGGTTTAATTACTAGGTTTCGGAATTAAGGTTTTAGGATTTAAGCCCCCCCCTAAATGTGGAATATTTTTCGGGCCCAGGCGAATTTCAGAATTAGGGAGGCGGGGGGAAGGATTTAGTATATGGGGGAAGGGATTATGGGGTTTAGGGATTTAGGTGCTAGGGCTTAGGGATCCAAGGCTTTGCTAGTTAGCTACTGTTTAGGGAATGAGGGGTATCTTAAGGAGTTTAAGGTTTAGGGATTTGCGGATTCTAGAGCCATCTAACATCACAGACAAGATCGTCCCCAAACGCAATTTGCCCCGTGATGACCCAAACTCACGCGAATTCTGGCAATACTCATGCGAAGCTGGCGTGAGAAATTAACTCGCAGGGAGGAGTTTCAGCCCAAGCCGCCCTCAAAAAACCCCAAAACTCGAAGACCCTAAAACCTATCAACCCTTAAACCCTGCTAAACCCTAGACTAAAACCTACTAAAACCCTACTAAACCCTACTAAACCCCACACCCTGTACACAAATGTACCATGAGCCCAAGCGGCCGGGGAGGAGCCCGCCATGGGGGCCATGATCACCTAGGGTTTAGGGTTTAGGGCTTGTTTTCGTGCTAGGCTTATAGAGGGAGTGGGGTGCTACAGGAAGGGTTCAAAGGAGTTGGGGTTTTATATGGTTTGTGGTTTGAAGGGATATGGGTTTAGGGTGTGTATACTAAATGGTTTAGGTTTAAAGTGCATTTAAGGCTTTGTTAGGACTTTAAAAAATGCCCTTGCCCTGAGGGATTCAAAGGGTGTGTGAAAGATCCTTCCTTGAAGATACTTCGGGGGGGTGTTTCAGGCTGTCCCAAACACCCGAAACCCTAAACCCTAAACCCTAAACCCCAAACCCTAAACCGCAACACAGTCCCAGCAACTGGGCACCGGAGGCCGAACGCCTCGCAGAAGGCCTTTGCTGGCGCCAGGGCGGACGAACGAGGCAGGGCCATGGCACCCTCTGGGGGCCAAAGACGCCCCGGGGAGCTTCGAAGGCGTGGCAGTTTGAAGAAGGACGGTTTAAAGGGAAAACGCTCAACCCTAAACCCTAAACCCTTGAAGAATAACAGTAAAGGGTTTTAGGGCTTCGGGACTAGGGTTTGAAGTCTAGGTCGTTGGGTGTTGAGTCCATGAGTTGCGGCCCTTGAAAGTCTTGAGCCCAGACAGACTTGAGGCTTTCTTTCGAAGCTGAGTTTAGGATACATATATATATATATATGGTCACCCCCCCCCCAATGGACCCACCGCGGGCCTTGATCTTTGCAAAAGTACCGCAAATACCGATAAAACCTATGCTGTCTGGTGATTTTCCGGTGACCGGATTTTTGACTGTATTCCTTAATTCACCCTCTCACACACGCACGGAGGGTTTTTCTTTCTGTTGGCTTTTGTTTATAATTTGAGATCTAGGCATTTAAACCTAAGCCTGCAAAAAAAAACCTTAACCTTTAAACCCTGTAGGGTTAAGGTTTAAAGGTTAAGGGTTTAAGATTTAGGCATTTGAACCTATGCCGGTAGTTAAAGCTAAGCCCTTAACCTTTAAATTCTATCGGGTTGAGATTTTTACAGGTTTAGGGTTTAAGATGTAGGCATTTAAACCTAAGCCTGCAACTAATTTTAAACCCTTAACCTTTAAACCCTGTAGGGTTAAAGTTTAGAGGCTTAGGGTTTAATATTTAGCCATTTAAACCTGTAGCCAAGCCCTTAACCTTTAAACCCTATAGGGTTAAGATTTTTAAAGGTTTAGGATATAAGATGTAGGAATTTAAACCTAATTAAGCCTGCAACTAATTTTAAACCCTTAACCTTTAAACCCTGTTGGGCTAAGGTTTAAAGGTTTCGGGCTTAAGATTTAGGCATTTAAACCTATTCCGGCAATTTACGCTAAGCCTCTAACCTTTAAACCCTATAGGGTTAAGATATTTAAAGGTTTAGGGTTTAAGTTTAAGGTTTAGGTATTTAGACCTATGCCGGCAGTTCATATTGAACCCTTAACCTTAAACCCCATAGGGATGAGATTGAAAGGTTTAGGATTCTTTACTTAGACATTTAAATCCAAGCTGACGATTCAACCTAAACCCTTAACCTTTAAACCCTATAGGGTGAAGGTTTAAAGTTTTAGGGTTTAAGATTCAGACATTTAAACCTAAGACAGCGATTAACACTAAGCCCTTAACCTTTAAACCCTATAGGGTTAAGGTTTAAAGGTTTGGGGTTTAAGATTCAGGCATTTAAAGCTAAGTATGTAATCAATTTGTCACCCTTAACACCTCTAAACTCTGTAGTGTGAAGGTTTAAAGGCTTAGGGTTTAAAAAAAACCTAAGCCCCCTAAGCCCATAGAGTTTAAACCTTAAGGGTTTAAGGTTTACGCATCTATTCCTTAACCCTAAACCCTCTAGGGTCAGGACCCTAAATCCCTCGGCAATCAAGCCTAAACCCTTGACCTTCAAACCCCATAGGATGAAGGTTTAAAGGTTTGGGGTTTAAGACTTAGGCATTTAAACCTAGAGGGCATTTAAGCCTTAATCCTAAACCCTTTAGGGTCAGAACCTTAGCACCCTAAAGGGGTCTAGCACGTTCAAAGGCTTGAACCCTACAGGCGCTGAAGGTATACATGTCCTATCGGTTTTTAAACCATGACACCCTGTAAGAAGGTTTAGGGTCTTTTCGGGGTCTATCTCTAAATTTCTCACGGGGTTAACCCTGCAGGGTTTAAAGTTAAAGGTTTAGGGTTAAAGGTTAAGGCAATACCTATAGGATTAGAACCTTATAACCCTGTAGTGCATGAGGCTTAAACCCCTAAAACTTAACCATCTTTTTCTCGAGAAAACCAAAAAACCAAAAAAACCAAAAAAACAATCTTTTCCAAAACTATGGGGCTGGGGCCTCCAAAAGATGGTTTTTTTGGTTTTCTCGAGAAAAAGATGGTTTTTTTGGTTCGAAACCATCTTTTTCTCGAGAAAAAGATGGTTTTTGAGCAGCCGCTCTTCGAAAAACCATCTTTTTCTCGAGAAAAAGATGGTTTTTAGAGATCTTACCCTGGAAAAACCATCTTTTTCTCGAGACAAAGATGGTTTCCGGAGGTCTTGTCCTGGTAAAACCATCTTTTTCTCGAGAAAAAGATGGTTTTTGGAGGTCTTCTCCTGGTAAAGCCATCTTTTTCTCGAGAAAAAGATGGTTTTTCGAAGGATGGTTGCTCAAAACAATCTTTTTCTCGAGAAAAAGATGGTTTCGAACCAAAAAACCATCTTTTTCTCGAGAAAACCAAAAAAACCAAAAAAACTAAAAAAACCATCTTTTCCAAAACTATGGGGCTGGGGCCTTCAAGAGATGGTTTTTTTGGTTTTCTCGAGAAAAAGATGGTTTTTTGGGTTCGAAACCATCTTTTTCTCGAGAAAAAGATGGTTTTTGAGCAGCCGCTTTTCGAAAAACCATCTTTTTCTCGAGAAAAAGATTGTTTTTGGAGATCTTGTCCTGGAAAAACCATCTTTTTCTCGAGAAAAAGATGGTTTTTGGAGGTCTTGTCCTGGTAAAACCATCTTTTTCTCAAGAAAAAGATGGTTTTTGGAGGTCTTGTCCTGGTAAAACCATCTTTTTCTCGAGAAAAAGATGGTTTTTGGAGGTCTTGTCCTGGTAAAACCATCTTTTTCTCGAGAAAAAGATGGTTTTTAGAAGAGCGGCTGCTCAAAAACCATCTTTTTCTCGAGAAAGAGATGGTTTCGAACCAAAAAACCATCTTTTTCTCGAGAAAACCAAAAAAACCATCTTTTGGAGGCCCCAGCCCCATAGTTTTGGAAAAGATGGTTTTTTTGGTTTTTTTTTGTTTTTTTTGTTTTTTTGGTTTTTTGGATTTTTTTGGTTTGTTGGTTTTTGTTAGTTTCTTGTTTTGTTGTTTTTTGCCTTGATCTGGCTAGGACTCGGCTGCCATCCGCGGTGGGTCCATTGGGGGGGGGTGAGCTATATGGTCACCCCCCCCCAATGGACCCACCCTTTTTAGGCCTTTTTAGGCCGTTTTAACAAAAAATAACAAAGAAGGCCCAACAGTCGCGTAGTTAATCACCGGGTAATGAAGGACAGTTATTGGGACACCCACCTCACAGACCCCGATAAGCCAGCATTGGAAGAATCTACATTTTGAATCTGAAGCGGACAATGCTGTTTTTACAAATTGTGCGTTTCAAGGGCAATTAATGTTTTGTTGAGCAACTAATTTATTCATACAATTGTGTTTGTACGAGGCAAAGTATTAATCAAATAGTGAAACATTTTTCTTGGTTCTATGCGAATTTAGCTACTAGAGTAATTATTAAACAAAGAGCCCAACTTGACTCAAGTGAATACTATTTAAAGGAGCATACTCAACTAAGATACGAAATAAACACCATTCTCAAGCAAAAAATGGCAAGGTGTGCGTTTAAAGTGCAAATACTGTATTTATACAATTGTGTTTGTACTAGGCAAAGTATGCTCTCTGAAAAGTCCACTGAAATACCTTATGTTTACATATTCATGAATCGTTTTTATTTTTGAAATAATCATTTTATGCGAATTTAGCTACTAGAGTAATTATTAAACAAATAGCCCAATTTGATTCAAGTGAATACAATTTAAAGGACCATACTCAACCAAATACGAAATAAACACTTGCGGAAATGGAAACGGTTCTACCTACACAACAATGAGACAAAGATTGCTGAAGTATTCACTAAAGACCACTTATATACTATGTCTGAAAAGCACAATTTGCATGAGCAAGCTCAAAAATGCACAATAATGGAAATAGAAGCGGTTCTACTTACATAACGATGAACAAAGATGTCTGAAGTATTCAATAAAGACCACATATATACTGCTTGAAAAACGCAACTTGCACAATCAGGCTTTAAAAATGCACAAGAATCCTAGAAAAGTACTTAGCGAAGGCCATACACAAGCAAATTCACAAATACATAAAAACATCCAAAAGCGCAAGCTTTTCAGGAGAATCTCTGGTAAAGTTTGGATTATAGGGTTTTGGGGCATTCCTGGACGAGTGGGAGTCACTCTTTAAACAAACAGTTCTAAGCAATAAATGCTTTTTCTCAAGACAAGTATTGCAAATGCTGCTTGTAGATAATTAATCGCATTTACCAGGCAAATAATATCCATGCGAATTGAGCTACCAGAGCACCAAGAAATGGCTGAATAAGGTCTACTACACTTGAGTACAACCAAAAGATGCACTAAACACTAGCGGCTCTACTTACATAATAACGAAACAAATAGTTCTGAAGCACTAGAAAGACCACTTGTATACTATTTCTGAAAAGAACAATTAGCATAAGCACACTTAAAATGCATAGTTGTTGCCTCGTGACCGTGAAGGCGAACCAAAAAGCCAAAATACCAAAACCAAAAAAACCAAAAAATACCAAACCCAAAAAACCAAAAAAAAAAAAAAAAAAAAAAGAAAACAAAAATACCAATTTTCCGGGACTCTTGGAAGCCTCATAGGGATTTCCTGAGAGTCCCGGAAAATTGTTTTTTTTGTGTTTTTGGTTTTGGTTTTTTTGGTTTTGCTTTTTTGTTGGTTTTGTTTTTTTTTGTTTTTTTGGTTTTGCTTTTTTGGTTTTTTGGTTTTGGCATTTTTGGTTTTTCTACTGTCCCGTGTATGCGATTTTAGTTGATTTTAGTCTACGCCCTAGGAAATACGCTATGTTGCACACTGAGTTTGCTTGCAGTGCAGCTGGGTGACTTGAGACAAGGCGAAAAAGGGTAGGTCACTGGGGGGGGGGGGGGGTACCATATATATATATATATATATATAATATAGGGCCTTACGAGAGTTTGGGGTTTGGGGTTTAGGGTACCCCTAACCCAAGCAGCATCTGAGACACAGCAATGTCGACAACCTGCGAAAGAGGGCAAGGGGCACACGTACAGGCAGCCTGCGTCGGATGTGTAGGTATGCAT